AATATTTGATACGTATATATATTTCACCCCAATATATACCTTCAACCTATGTTTGTATTACCCGGCCGTTTCGAGTAGACAATAAAGTGATTATAACGATTCAGATTTCGGATCATCTACTTATTTATGAACAATATTAAACGAAGGATTTTCTGACGGTGATGTACTCCAAGTACAAGTGTTTGTTGAAGATGTGCTGTTTTACGCTTACAATTTCTATTGTAATGATGATACATACGCTACGGCATACGAATATTTTTTAAGTGGGTATACCGAAACAACTCTAATACCTACTATTTATGACCGTGTTCTCTGTGATCTCCAGTTTAATGACTCTTTCCACATAAAATTTCAATAACTATTTTAATACCTGCAGTGCGCGAATTTTTGCCTTAAGAGTTTGGAGCCTATTTTTAATTATTAAGCTTCATGTAATGTTTTTTGTGGTTGGGACTAAGTAGCTCTGCCTTTAACAGCCAGGAAATTTTACAGTAAACACATTGTTGTATGAAGTAGCGACTGTCACTAGGCTAGGTAAAATTTCCTGGCTGTTAAAGGCAGAGCTACTTAGTCCCAACCACAAAAAACATTACATGAAGCTTAATAATTAAAAATAGGCTCCAAACTCTTAAGGCAAAAATTCGCGCACTGCAGGTATTAAAATAGTTATTGAAATTGTATGTGGAAAGAGTCATTAAACTGGAGATCACAGAGAACACGGTCATAAATAGTAGGTATTAGAGTTGTTTCGGTATACCCACTTAAAAAATATTCGTATGCCGTAGCGTATGTATCATCATTACAATAGCAATTGTAAGCGTAAAACAGCACATCTTCAACAAACACTTGTACTTGGAGTACATCACTGTCAGAAAATCCTTCGTTTAATATTGTTCATAAATAAGTAGATGATCCGAAATCTGAATCGTTATAATCACTTTATTGTCTACTCGAAACGGCCGGGTAATACAAACATAGGTTGAAGGTATATATTGGGGTGAAATATATATATATACGTATCAAATATTCACATTCCGTCATTTTAAAAATAGTAGAATAATAGTCTTCGGCAATTATTTTAAATACCTACTAAAATGCAGTTCTAATATGTTGCAAATATATAGCTGATAACATACAATGTTGTATATCCTGTTAAGAACTGCAAGTGCATGTGTAAAAATAAGCCTCAAAGATTTGATAAAAACAGATGAATAATAACCATTTCCGAATTTAAAATTTCTTGTGAGAAGAAAAAAGCTCGTGGGAATTTTATATCAGCAGGATACACTTTTACCACACCCAACAGTGTTGTAATAGGTAAATATTTAGAAACTTCTAAGTAAACAGGCTATTATAGTTTTCAAACAAGACATACGCTTAGATTTTAGAACTATCCAAATAATAGGATATAATTTCGCAGATTTTTCGTACACACCATGTTACAATATATCGCTGGCGACAATGATAATTATTAAAATAATTGTATATATATATATATATATATATATATATATATATATATACCATCTAAATATCCCAGCAAATTTTCGTAGACTCGTACAAGTTTAGCGGAAGGTTCCATTGTTTTCGCTTGTTAATTCTGTGACATATAACAATAATGATTCAAAGGCCCCACAAAGGTATCAAAAAGTTACCAAAGCTTCTTGATGATTGAAGAAAAAATTGAGAGTGCAGCCCTGTACATTAATAGGATGTGAAAAAACTAACAAAACAAAACATCTGTATGCGGTTAAAAAGGGTAATCGCTTGTGTTGACGTAGAATGCATATGAAAAGGTAGACACAAAAAATTTAGCTTATTGAATTTAATATTTTTATCTATCTACTATGGGCAAGTATTACTATTATGATAGCTAGATTTTTTCTATTCAAATGTTGTTTTTATTGGTTGCAGATGTGCTAATTAACGTTGTTAAGGGGCGGTTACCGCCGTCCTACCGAGTAAGTTAAAAGTACGCACATACTTATTATGAGTAGAGTAGAGTGGGGCAATAGTCCGCGTGGGGCAAAAGCCGTTTCTGAAGAGCTCAATACACAATCTGGCAACCCAGTCATGCCGTAACCCTCGACAACAGTATTGATGACCGGTAGCGTTTTGAAAGAAATTTCTGTGAAGTGTTGCAATAACAATGAGGTATTTATTATTTTTTTATATCTGCATGTAATTTTTATAAGATAGTACATAGGATATTGCAGAATAACTTGTAGTTGTATTTTTAAAACAAAATTTCTACATAACCTACAACATATGAGGATAGCATAAACGCGTGAAAATCGCATGGTTCCTTTGACACTAGAAATGGCGGTAAATTTAAAATTTGGGTTACGCTATGGGGCAAAAGTCCGATTTTTGTATGGGGCAATAGTACGTGCGTACTTTTGCCCCACGCGTTTCAAGAGTTTTGCCCCCTAGTATTTAATGTTTGGTTTAACTAAAATTTCCTGTTTGGCAGGAACTATAAAAGAAAGTCTAGTAGAAAATTGTGCACAGAGGAAATGCTGCAAACGGCTCTAGCTCAGATAGCTGATGGTTCTTCAATTGGAACAGTTGCTACTAATTTGAACATTCATGAATCTACTTTGCGCAAAGATTGAAGTCTGGACGTGGTGCAGTTTCTTTTGGCCACTATACGTCAATATTTACAAACGAAATGGAGCAGATGCTGGTTCAGCACTGTAAAGAATTGGACAGTAGGTTTTATGGTCTGACGTTTAAAACTTTAAGGAGCATTGGTTACGAGTTCGCCGTACTGAATAATATTGAACATCCATTTAATCCAAATACAAGGTTAGCTGGTAGGGACTGGGCATGCAACTTTATAAAAAAACACAAACTCTCCATAAGAACACCAAATTCAACTGCAGTGCAGTGTAATGGGCTTTAACAAAACTCAGATCGACGCTTTTTTTTCTAATCTAAAAAGTTTCCTCCGGGTTCTATATACAATATGGACGAAAGTGGGATCTCTACTGTTCCAAGCAAGGTACCAAAGGTTGTTAGTACTAAAGGAAAAAAAATGGTGGCAAAGATATCATCTGCTGAGCGCGGAGAAACAATGACTATTGTATGTGCCATGAGTGCGGCAGGAAATTTTGTTCCACCTGCTTTGATATTCCCTCGTAAGCGAATGAAGGCTGAACTTATGGATGGAGCCCCATCCCAGTCTATAAGAATGATTTCAGATTCCGGATATATGAACACCTCCTGTGTTGTTGATTATGGACAACCATTCCTCCCACAGATCACTGGCGGCTATTTTATTCTGTAGAGAAAAATAATATACATTTACTCACAATCCCTCCGCATAGCATTCATTGAATACAACCACTCGATCGATGTTATTTCAAAGCATTGAAAACGTTTTACGCAACTGAATGTGATCGTTGGTTAACCAACAATCCCGGAAGAAATATAACCCACTTCCAAATTGCGAGAATATTGGGGCGAGCTTATGAACGTTGTTCTACCATGGATAGGGGTATCAAAGGTTTAGAATCCTGCGGAATTTATCCGATAAATGAGAATGTGTTCACTGATGAAGATTTTCTTCCTTCCAGTGTCACCGAGAGAAATGTCCAGAATCCGCAAAGAAATAATAGCGAATCGGAGTCAGATTCTGAAACATCTGTACCGCTATCCGTGTAACGCAACAATCTGAAAAAAAAAATCAACCCCTCAAAAGCAGTTAATAAGGAGTAGTCAAGTTGCAAGTACCTCAAGAGCAGCCGTAGAAAGTCCAATGGATGCGCTTTATGTCTCACCTCTTGCGTCTACAGTCAGCCAAAAAAACAATCTAATTTCTCTAATTTCTACTTAGTGAATAATGAAAAACTGAGTGCAAAATCTCAAATGGCCCCAGATACCTAGATCGACTACGTATTTTTAACATAATTTTTGATAACTAAAACTGGTTCCATTAAAAGAGTATGTATGAAATTAAAGACTTTTTTAAATGGTAATGTATTTATTGATGGATGTCATAGAGGATGACTATCGATAATGGCTTAGAAGAAATATGTAAGTAGTACTTTTTTTATTCGATTTAATGACAGATATCATATTTTTTATTATTGGATTTAATGACAGATGTCATATTTTTAGGACAGAAATTTATACAAATGCTAAATATAAAAGCAATCGATAATTGCTTTCTAATTAAGAAATACCTTCGGTATAGAGATGCTGTCTAAGAATGGGACCTTTTTTATTGGATTTTTAATGACAGATATAATTTTTAAGACAGAAGATGTAAAACCGAAATTAAACAATAAAATGTCAATAATAAAGGAAAAGTGAGTTACAAAAGTTTTTAATAATGACGGATGACAGATGTCATATTTTTAGATTTGAAAGACGAAAAATGTGTAGAAATGCTAAATATAAAAGCAATCAATAATTACTTTCTAAAAGAAATACCTAATGAATGGGGGCCTTTTTATTGGATTTAACGAGTCATATTGTTTAGGACAGAAGATGATGCAAAAAATATGTACAAGACACTAAACAATAACATATATACGGAAAATGTGAGAAAAAAGTTATTTTAATAGTGACGGATGACATGTCATATTTTTTTAGGTTGACAGCTTGAAAAAAAGTCTAGAAGTAATAAATGTTTGACAGTTGATTTTTAAGGTTGAAAATGTTAAATGTGAAGATAATTGGAGTACAATCGATGATGGTACATTGTAATTGAATCGCTTATTTATGAAAGGGTATAAGTTACCTTTTTTATGAAAATGAGATAATGGCAGGAATCTGTTCTAAAAAGGTGTATCTATAGTTTAATAACGAAAAGATATAAGTCACGTATACCGCTAATTGTTGGCATCGAACGAAACAGTGTTTATTTTTGAAAGGATATAAGTCAGTGACTTATATCGTTTCATAAATTTACCGCCCGCACGGAAGTTGGCGCGCTAGTCCGAGGCCCACTCGGTCTTACTATAACACATGTGTCAAGTGTCAACTGCTTCATTCGCTGCTTGAACGTGAAAGAGATTGTATTTACGTTGCATTTAATAAAAATATAATATTGTAAATAAACACTGCATTATGAGTGATAGCGAAAATTCCACTAACAAGAGGAAAAAAGGTGTAAGAAATACAGAAGAGTACAAATATTTAAAAATTAAGAAAAGCAGATTATCTGGAAATCCATACAAAAATTACCGAGGCAATATTGTTCCAGGAAAGGCGATAGGACAGTCTTGCAAGTAAGTTTCTTTTAAAACTTGTATTATTGCCTTACTATATCTAGTAAAATCAATTTGTAGGTGCAAATTTAAATGCTTCGAAAATATTTCTGAAACAGAGAGAATTGCTATTATGAACAAGTTCCGTTCCTTCGAAACAAAAAATGAACAGGATATCTACCTACAAGGTTTAATGTTACCACAACCTATTAATAAAAGACGTCCACGTAAAGAACAAGCTTCATTGAGAGCTTCGTCTTTTAAATATTTTGTCAATGTTCAAGCAGAGCGACGGCAGGTTTGTAAAACTGCCTTTTTAAGCTTGCATAGCGTTAGTTCTAAGGCCATTCAAAGACTTCAAACTCTTCTTAACCTTGGAAAATCACCAAAAGATTTAAGAGGTAAGCAAAACAACAGAAAAATCATACCTGGCAACATAATTCAAATTGTTCGAGAGCACATATCTTCTTTCCCTGTTAAACAAAGTCACTATTCTTCTAGGGAATATAATTACCTTGATGCTAGACTGAACGTGAAAATTATGCATAATTTATTTAAAGAAAAATATTCTGCAACAAATGTAAAATACTCCCCCTATTATAAAATTTTTAAGGAACATTTTGATTACAAATTTGGAAGACCACAAGTGGATACGTGCTGCCAATGTGAAGAGCTCAATATAAAAGCAACAAGTTCAAGTTTAAATGAAACAGCTAAGCGAGCTGCACTGGCGGAACTTATGGTACATAAAAGACGCACTAAAAAATTTAACAATAGCATTCAGGTTACCGAAAAAGTGTGCTCAGAAAATGACTCTGTGCTCGGACTTTGTTTTGACTACATGCAGAACATTTCACTGCCATCAATTCCCGTTCAAGACATCTTTTACTTCCGGCAACTGTCTGTATTTCCATTCAGTATACACAACTTAAAAAATAAATCGGCACAGTTTTTTTTATATCAAGAAGGTGTAGCTAAGAAGGGCCCAAATGAGACATGTTCTTTTATCTTAAAATATTTAAAGCAAAATGTACCCTCTTCAGTAAAGGAGCTTCATCTTTATAGTGACGGTTATGGTGGCCAAAACAAGAACAATGTCATGATCAGGTTTTGTCTTGCCCTTACAGATACTGGAATGTTTGAAAAAGTAGTTCACAAATTTCCGATCCGTGGACACTCTTTCTTACCGTGCGATCGTGATTTTGGTTTGGTTAAACGCAAATTAAATCGGATTGATAAAATTTACACACCCAAACAAGTTTGCGAAGTTATTTGCAACTCCGCAAAAGGACACAAATTCACTGTTGAAATGGTCAATGGAGAAGATGTTGTAGATTTTAAGAACTGGTGGTCTAAGCACTATAAAAAAACTTGTCTTTCGATAGAAAGTAGTGGTAGATCTATTGCACGCGCTCAAAAGGAATCATTTGCGGTTTCTAGTTTTATGGAGTTCCGATATGACCATACAAGAAAAGGCATTGTTGAGGCCCTTAAATTTATTGATGGGATTCAAACAAGCTCCTTTATTCTAAGAAATACAAACACCGATGCGGTAAGCTTACCAATTCAAAAAGCTTATGGAGAGGAAAAAATTCCAATTAATATTAAGAAAATGAACGACATTAAAAAAGTAATAAAGTACATACCTGAGGAGTTTGAAGATTTCTATAATACACTACAAGAATGGCCAACTACAGAAGCCGACATGGAAGACTAAGGATATATTACTTTGTTTAAATGTTTCTAACTGGATACATAGTTATTTTTAAATAAAAAATACGTTTTCATTCAAAATTTGATTTTTATTAAAGCAAATTCAAGGAAATTAATAAATAATAGCAAAAATTTAAATATGTTATTATGTTAATTTGTGAAAGGATACAAGTCTAACAACTTTATGTAACTCAAAAACTAGTTTACATTTTCAAAAAATAATAAAACTGACAAGAATCAAACATAATTTGTGGATGTGAATCAAACTTTACAAAACATTTTTTTAAAAAATCATAACTAATAACTTAGGCAGTTTTTCTCAAATATCTCAAAACTAACCTTTACTGACTTGTATCCCTTCATAAATAAGCGATTCAATTATTGTTTTTATTTTTTAATAAAGATTGCGACGGTGACATACGACAATTACGTACAACAATGACATACTACAGTGAAGTACTGCGCAGGTTTACATATCACATACGATAATGGACGAAGAGTATTTTTGTTACCTTTTTATTAATAACCAACGACAATGAACGTAGAGTATACGATGAAAATGGCGTTACACATTAGCCAACTTCATAGCTCAGGTTAGGTTAGCAACGCTGACAGTTGACGTAGGTTAGATCGTTGACTAGCACCTTTCTGCAGGTTCCTAATCCAATGTTGCCACATTGCAATTTCATATATTTTTTTATTCTAACCCCACTTTTTTTGTTTATAGTGTGTATCTTTAAATATTTGGTTTAGTAAACAGTTTTCGTATTTTGTTGTAAGTTGTAGTGTTTCTTTAGAATATTTTTGGGTTTAATTGACTCATTACAATGCCAATATTTTGTAATTATTGTGAAAAGTTGTTTTCAACCCAATCCAATCTTAATAGACATAGAAAAGAAGTTCATCCTGATAAAAACCAGGAATTAACTATAACATATCCCCACGAAGTTTATTTATTTAAGTGTTTAGAAGGGTGCCAAATGTCCTTTAGATTCAATAAGGACCTTAGAAATCATTTGTCTATTAAACATAATATGGAAATTGATTATGAGAAACTCATATTTGGAGAAAAGGATGGTGAGTAGATTTTATAATATTTTAAGTATATAGGAGTATATACACTTCCCCAATAAATTAACGCACCATCGAAAAATAACAAAAAGTTTAAAGTAAATATTTGTCAAAACCACTTGTCTGTTTTGGACGACTTTTTTTTTAATGACAGGTTGCCTCTTCCACAACGTCGGTTTGCTAACTGTGTTTGCATAAAATCGTTTTTTTTTATTAATACAGGGTGTAGCAATTATTGTAGCAATTATAGCGTGAATTTTTCATAAAAGTTGTAACACCCTGTAGAGTGCAATAGTTACATTACCAAGTTCGCATTGATATCACAAGTTAGCCTTATCTTCTATTAACAATTTCATTTTTTAGTTACTCCATTATGTTTCCTATTACATGAGAAACTCAAGTTTATAACTTAACATGACATTATTAATTTGCATTAGCATTATAAGCACTAAAGTAAGTAAGCATGCTATGGAAAAACCAGTAATTGTCGAATACAGATGCGTATTGTCAGTATTTAGTCCATTCGCCATTTTTTGCAAAAAAATTATTAAACAATATGCCACGAAATCTTACTCGCGAAGAATGTGCTCAAGCTTTAATATTGTTTCAAGAGGGTTAGAGTTACCGAAGAATTGGTGAACGATTTGACGTAACCCACACAACCGTTTCACGAGTTATACAAAGATATAGAGAGACTGGAAATCATGGTCGTAGGCCGGGACAAGGAAGAAACCGAGTAACTACTCCGATTCAGGATCGATTTTTAAGACTGTCAGCATTAAGACAACGTTTTGTAACAGCTCGGACCCTTAAAACCCAGCTTCAGGATACTAATGGTTTAGAAGTTTGTATAGAAACTGTTCGTCAGCGACTAAGGGAACATAATTTGCAGCCTAGAATAGCTGCTCGAGGTCCAGTTCTTAGAGTTCATCGCAGAGCAAGACTAAATTTTGCCAGAGAGCATCTAACTGGTTAGAGGCTGAATGGCAATAGGTATTATTTACTGATGAGTCTCGATTTCGTCTGTATAACAATGACAGGCGTATGCGCGTATACCGACGCCCTAATGAACGGTATGCTCAGTGTAATTTCTCACATACAACATTATTTGGAGGAGGATCTCTGATGGTATGGGGAGGCATTTCTTTGACTGGTCGCACAGAACTTGTAATCTTAAATGGAAGCCTTATAGCTGACAGGTACATATTGGAGATTTTAGACGAACATGTAGTTGCATTTGTACCATATATAGGGCAAGGATTTTTGTTGATGCAAGATAATGCCAGGCCTCATGTTGCTCGAGTTGTGAGAAATTATCTAGAGGAACTCGGTATCTCTACCATGGCATGGCCAGCTCGGAGCCCGGATTTAAATCCGATAGAAAATCTCTGGGATACTCTTGGGAGGAGATTACAAGAGGAACGTAATCTGAACTCTCTGGAAGATATACGGCAGAGACTGATTCAAATATGGGAAGAATTGGACCAAAATGACATAAGGTCTCTTATTTTAAGTATGGGCCACCGTTGTCAAGAAGTTATTTGTGCCAGAGGCGGAAATACTCGTTACTGACACTTATTTCGTTACATTTTGTTTCGTGTTTTCATTTTTAAATTTTGATATTAATTTTTAATAAAATCATGTTATGTTATAAATTAATGTTTCTCGAATAATGACAAAGATAATAGAGTAAATAAGAAACGAAATTGTTAAGAAAAGATAAGGCTACATTGTGAGATCAATTCTAACTTTGTAATGTAACTGTTGCACTCTACAGGGTGTTACAACTTTTATGAAAAAATTACGTTATAATTGATACACACTGTATTAATAAAAAAGAGTGTTTTATACAAACACAGTTAGCACACCGATGTTGTGAAAGAGACAACCTTTCATTTAAAAAAAAAATCGTCCAAATCAGCAAGTGGTTTTGACAAATATTTACTTTAAACTTTTTGTTATTTTTTGATGGTGCGTTAATTTATTGGGGAAGTGTATATGTAAAGTAAATTAATTTTATTTGTAGAATTTGAAAAGTGGTTATCGAAACTTCAAGTGGAAAATAATGTAGAGTATTCATCAGCATCAGGTGTTAAACGTACTAATGGTGATATAAGAAAAGTTTATCTAAATTGCAATCGATCAGGTAAAGGGTGGTTTTTAAGTGCAAGAGTAGATTGCTTCAAATACCAAAAATATTTCATGTTTTTTAGTATTATGTGCTTCTTAAACTTAATTTAAATTTTTAGGAAAACAAAGAATTATGAAAGAAAAAGAAAGAAAACGAAGTGAGAAAGTCCAAGGTTTATCCAAGCAAAACACAGCTTGCACAAGCCAATTAATTCTTTCAATAAGCAGTACTGGGGAATATGTGGTTGAATATTTTAAAAACCATTATGGTCATAATTTTGATTTAAAACATCTTCACATATCTGAAAATTTCCGTAAAAATATTGCCTCTAAACTGATAATGGGAGTTTCACCAAAACAGTAAGTGACTTTTTTATTATTATTAAAAAGCGAATAAAGGTAATAATTAAAATAAAAAATGCAGCTATTGTATTTGCAAAAAGTAAGGCATTTATTAACAATTCACTTTTTATTACAGCATCTTGACTACCATCAGAAAAGATATTGAAGGGACATTAAAAAGGGATGATCTATTAACAATGAAAGATATTGGAAACATAAAGACATCTTTCAATATATGTATAAAGGATGGTCAAAGACATACAGATGATTGTACAAGTGTAGAATTGTATGTTAAAGAATGCCAGGAATTAAATGAACATAATCCCATTCTTTTTTATAAAAAACAAGGGGAACCAGTGAGTGGTTTCCAAGATAATGATGTGTCTTATTATAATGAATTCTGTTCAAAAAGAAATGTTTAAACAGTTTTCTAATAATATTGTATGTGTAGATGGAACACATGGTCTCAATGCATACGATTTTGAAATGACGACTATCCTTGTACTTGATGAATTTCGACAAGGCTTCCCTGCTGCATTTTTGTTCTCTAATCGTAAAGACCAATTTATTTATGAGGTTTTTTTTGATAATGTTAAAAAGGCTGTGGAAATGGAACAAATAAATATAAACACATTCATGACGGATGATAATTGCTTTATTTTCCATAAAGAAAATGATCAGACTCCATATTTGGTCAGTCGAATAAATAATGATATATGTTGTGAATTAAAATGCTCCAATTGCAATATATGTTGGCATACTTTTGAATGCACATGCCTTGACTACCAAATCAAAAGCATGATATGCAAACATACATTTCATTGTTTTAAAATATATTGATACTTCTGTATCAAGTTCACATTCTTCACTTAAAGAAAAGCAATCTCAAGAAGTTATAATGCTGACAAACAATATAAATAATGATTGCCCCTCTAATTCTTTGTCCCATTCAAACAGTCCATTTGATGTTGAATGGAAAAACAAAAAATTAAAAACTCTGCATTGAATATAATTGCAAATATTGACAGTTTACACTACTATGTAGAAGAATATGATTTTAATATACAAAACTTAAATGTAATAAAATCAATGGGATCAAAATCTGTATTATTGACTGAATCAGAAAATTTTATTGAGAAAACCCAAACTGTAACCACAGAACCTCCCAACAAGAATATCTTAAAACAAAAGTCCTTTTTTTCTACTAAAAAGAAAAGGAAAAATAATGGAAATAAAATTGCTAAAGCCTGTTTGGAAGAAACCAATATAATTAAGGAAACTTTGTCAAACTCACTTTTCACATCAAAAGATAGTGCTCATGAAACCATCAATCAATCAATCACAAAACAATCCAGTCTCCATCAATGCCAAACAAAACAGAAATACCACAAACACTCACACACACGTTTGCAATGTGGGTTGTGGGTAAATTGTCTCATGGCTTTGCCCATAAAAAGAAGA